AAAAAAAAAAACTAGGAACAAATACTTAAAAAAAAAAAAAAGAAAAGACCAGTAGATATCAGGTCGTTATTCAAAATAAGGCCATTTATGTTTACACTTTTAATCACTAATTCACTGATATAATGTCAATACTAATTCCTGATCAATGCCAACTTTTTGTCAGCTTTGCCCTGACATGGACCTGAGCCTTGTCATAGATTTGTCTCCTGTCTCTAGACTTTGATACTATTTCGAAATTTACACACCAGGTTCATTACAATTTCATTAATGGCTAATTCAACCTCTGTACTCCCAAATGATTTCTTTTTATCCTTTGGACTTAACTACTTTTAATTTCTAGAATAGAAATACTTATTCTCTCTTATATTCTCTTTTCACATTTTGAAATCTTGTGCATCCAACAAATTCTAACCATAAACAGAAATTTCTATAACCACCAGGGAATAAAATATTTTATTTTTCACCCACTTATGTGTGGCACTAATTTTTAACATCTACACAAAAATTTCACCTATTTATATTTCATATTCTATAAGTTTATGTCTATTTGATTTTCCTTAACTGTAAAGAGAATGTTACATGGTTATCAATCACTCATTATGATCAGTTTATGGATTCCATTGAACAAACAGTCTTCTGGATCAAGTTTGTCATGTGCCACAAAGGAGCCAAGCACTTGCTGCCACCTGCCAACAGCCTCACCTGGTTACAGTACTGCTCTCTGGTTGTGTTGGCCTGTGATGCAATTTTTACTCTCTTTGTCATAATATGTTGCTTGTTGAATTATCAAAAGTTTGCTAAGACAAGAAAGAAGGAAAAAAAATAGAGTAGAATTTTTTGAGATCTAAGGCAGGCAGACATGATAGGGAAGGTCATGACATTTAATGCCACCACTATTCTTCAAGGTGTGGCAAAATTCTCTATATTTCACAAGACTTGTGCTTTCCTGATTTATTCAAATATTTTACTCTTCATTAATCATTAAGTAATATACAATTTTAATTTCGGAAAACCTAAAATAACTCAATTTTGATGCTTACTTATGTATATTACTAAACTGAAAAAAAAAATGAGATACACTAAAAACTCAGGCTGTTTATTTGAGAAGGTAAGGAATAGTGTATTTCTACCATGTATTTTTAGAAACTCCTTTTTATTTTTATTTTATTTTTTATTTCTAACATTTATTGTTAGAGGTACATGTGTAAGAGGTGTAGGTTTGTTACATAGGTAAAGAAAACTCTTCTGTATAAACAAATACAAAGATATGGATTACATGTGTCCCTGTGAAGAAAAGCAGAGCAAGATCATTCTTAAAAATGCAAGACACATTTTCTTCTGACTAGTGAAGTAGGGGATAGAGACTAGGGTATAAATTGAGCTCGACTCTCACTAAGACAAAGGTAACTGAGGCTTTTAAAGAGAAAACTGATATGAATAAAAGTGAGGAAAACAAAAAGGAGCTAGTGGGATATGTGAAAATGGAAAATTACATAAAAATTCAGTGGGAAATAATTGAAAATTATTAGGCAAGGTGGGTTAGGCAGTGTATGTTTTCAGTTTGGCAGGATCACATTCTTTTGGGCCAAGACCTACCGTGGAAGCTAGGGTGACCTTTAAAGACAAATTCATGACCTAGTGTGCATTTAAGCTAAGCAAAACATGGCCAAGTCTCTTAACACGGTATTTATGCAAGTCTTTTGTATTACATCGGAGTGTAAAATTCAAGTCCTTCATGAAATAGAAAATATTTCTTAATGGGAATGTTCTTTGTTTTAAATTATTGATGGTCATAGGATAGGATCTCCTATCCTAAACGATGCAACCTGGTAAAATCCTTGGTTAGAAAGACAAACCATGTTTTCCACATGAGGCCTGAAATACGCTTGAGTTACTATTTTCACTTTAGTAATGACCCTTTGTAATTGGATAATAATACACAAAATAAAAATAGAGGCTAGTTCCCTTTAGTTAGGAATTATAGATATGGCTTAGCAAGTTTAGTCCAGTCCCTCTAGATTATAGTGTTACGTGATTTCTCTGCTGCAATAATATCTCACTATTTCTTGGCCTTAATTTGTCAAGCCAGACATTTCCAACTTCTTTAATACCTGGAATACTGAGGATACACAAACCAGAAATACATATAATCATTTTACTTATTCTCCCCTCATAACATGGAAAAATAAATTGTAGATGGAATAAAGAGCCAAATATCCTGTGCAATAATTTTTAAAATCTACGTTGAAGAAAGCATAATAAATGGCAAAAATCTCTCTAAATCCTGTCTTTAAATATTGGTCATTACAGCCTCTGGATTCAGAAAAAGGTTTGCAAAGCAAACCACAGAAAAGAACGAAAGCAACTTAAGAGCAGTTCTTCTGTCTGACAAGAGATGTGCCTGAACAATCGGATGGAAAAGAAGCACAATGATCATTCTAACACATGAAAAAGATTTTTATAGCACTCTTTTCTATGAGAAAACTATTTTTAGAAACAATTGATTATAAAACAAATTATTTTAATATCTAGAAAAGAAATATACACTGAATATTTTACTTTATTAAACTTTGAACATATAGTCATGCCACTAGAAGGATAAAAACAACGAAGGGCAAGAAAGGAAAAAAGTAATGCATTCGTGTGCTTTAATTACAGTAATGTCTTTTTTTTTAAACAGGGAAAAACTTGTGGATAAATATTAGTCTGAGGCAATAATGATGTTGAGCATGTACTACAAAAGCTAAATTCTAGTCTATTTATATTTTCTTAATGAAGTATCTTCTGAAAATGTATCAGAAAATATCAGAATATACTTTCCTAATAAAGTATGTTCTTAAAATAGATCTTCTTTGAAATACTTAGACCATATATCCAGATACATATATTTTTGTCCATCCATAAGTGAACAAAGAATACTTCCACTAGTTTAATTCTGAGAAGACTTTTTACACAAAGTGATATGTTCATATATACTTAGGAAAATATGTGAACATGAAGGTATGTTTGATGGAGAGTCATAAAAATTCCATAGTAAATTGGATTACAAAAAGTACAATAATATGATATGTCTGCTGCTTGGAGATTGATTCCATGAGCTTTTAAATATCTCAGCAGTAAAAATAAATTAAACACAGAAACTCTAAGCAATCACATAGAATGATATAATTGATATAAGATTCTTCATATTCATGATATTCTTTTTTT